ATCGTCTTCTCGTAGCATCGACCTTCAAATCTCTTCACCCAACACTTTCACTCGAAATGGAAGTAAGCTCAACAATTATTATCATCCAGCCAGGAGTTGACTGCAGTCAAGGCCTCGTCAAGATCTCATCACCACTCTCAGCGGGACTCGAGCCATCACACTGCAGCTTGTAATCTCGACATGTTACCACCACGCCACGGTGCCGCGATCACCCTCGGGTCACAGGGATGAGGTGACTTTCATGGAGACCCAAGCCTTTACCATATGAACTTTCTATTATGGGATCGTCGGGAAGGCGTAGTTGTATTGGCCACTACAATTGACTAGATTACTTATTTTCTGTTTATAAATAACGCGAGGTCGAACCTACAGTCCAGAACAGATGAAAATGCTTTTTGGGAAAGCAAGGCTATGTGAACTTCGATGGAAAGTCTACTCGTATCACTATGGGGAAAATTCAACTACTAGTCTCCTTAGCACCTTAAGCGAGATAGGGTGAATTCACTTCATTTATAAACGATCTAATGGTAGTCTCGAAACCTACTTATCAAAAAGAAATATAATTACCGATATTGTCCACTGAATTGCCCATTACACAGGCAGCCAATACACACACACACCTTGAATAGTATGAAAAAGAACTAATCACACCATTCTATATCTATTTAGCTATCTCTCTATATTGAGAATATATGTAAATGTGGCATGTAAAGATAGAGCCGGATAGTCTTCTTGACCTTGTGTCAACTTGAAGCTTTTGCACGAATGAGTTCCATGTCTGAGGCGGTCTGTCAAGTAGGATGATGGATGAAATGTCAACCGATTTGCACCCGAAACGAGGGCGGATATTTCGGGCACTACGCCAGTGTGTAATTCGTATTAAAGCCACTCGGCCGTCGCCTTCCTGTGAGATCAATCAAAGACTCTCTACATCAACCACTTTCATATGAAATGAAAGTCTCCACTACATTCGGCATTTTCGCGTTTTCCAGCCTCTACCCTTATCTCGGTCGCCTCGTGAGACTCGATACCCCAAGTTGCTACCCCCTCCCAGTTGACTTTCCATTGCTCCGGCCCAAGCCGACAACTCAGTTCGCTCGGTTGCCCCGCCGACGTGAACGGACCATACCTCTCATCTACTCCATGTCCGCATACCTGCCCGTTGGTTGGCTGTCGGTCTCAGGGTGGAGTCGGGCGAGGGCTGTCAGTAGAGTTCACAAGCTTGACAGACCGTGACCACCATCGACACATGTAGCTGGCATTGAGTTGCTACGAGGCACGTATTCACTCCCTCTTTGATCCGCTTGATCGATTCCCCAAGCAGGGAGTCAAATGACCCAGCCACCGTTCAATGGATCAATAGCGTCTGTATGACGACGACTCGTGATGCGGAGATATCACTTCTTCGTCCGGAGTGTACTGCCCGATCGACACAGCAGTGTGCTGGGAGCACTGTTGTTGGGGGCGATTTGCAGTGGGCCAGCCTAGCCGAGGCAACGTCAGACTCGGATTCTTCTCATCAGAATGATGAAAGTACGCTTTTCCTGCCCAATTGACTCGGCATTTGCGCATCAAAACACTGAGAGTGCTATGCATGAACAAAAACTGGCTCTCGATGCGTCCCTTGATGGTGATACAAAGAAAAAGAGGGTTTCAATGAACGCCCTGAAGTGGCACTGTTGCGGACACTTTGATTTCGCACAAAAGCTGACGATGAGCAGATTCGTAGGTCGATCATCTCACCAGAAGACGATGGCTGATTCCCATTGTGCTGCAACCGTTTGGCTTTTATACCAACTTCCGGCTTAGCACCTTTTCACCGGAATTGAAGGAGATTGCTTCGGAAACAGCGTCAGCATGAATCTTCCAGTAACGCCAGTCGACAGCTGGCCAAGAGGACTCCGCCGTCGCCTTCTGGTGGAACCGACCTTCTAATCGCTTCACCGAACACTTTCCCTTAAAATGGAAGAAAGCTCAAAAATTATGAAACAAGAGATTCCTCGAAACCCAACTTTTCTTCGCAACATCATCAATGCCCATACGCTACTGGTCTAAGCTACTGCTCAAAATAAGCTCTTAAGTCATTTTGGTATGAAAGTTTTAGGCCAGCATCAGAACGGGAAATTAGTTGTAGCTAATCA